TTCAAATTATTTGGAACCATCTAAGAAAATTATTAGGACAGAGTGAACTGAGAGAAGATAATTTGTCTAACTCTGAGCCATCATCACAAAAGACCTCTCTCAGGGCCAGGGATTTAGCTTAGTGGTTCTGCTGCCTGGCTCGCATGCGCAAGGACCTAAGTTCAGTCTCCAGTACCAAAAAAAAAAAACCTCTCTCAAACAGGAGTATTGGGGGTACCAAGTCCAGATGTTCTAGTAGTTGAAAATTAGTGATATCAGAATTGAGAGGGAGTAGAAAATTGTCAGAAAACACTATACAGCATATTTAGGGAATTTAGGGAGTTACCCCTTACATTCTGTCCCATTTTTATGGCCTATGTCCTATTTTCTATTACGTTGCTCTTATATTTAGATATTCAGCAGCAGTTACTAAATAGTCTTTTTGAGGGAGCAATGTAACTGAAATACTTATTTGTACTAGATTACACTAAATTGGTTGTTGCACATAAATCTTATTACTGAATATTTTTGAAATTTCTACTACTCTGTAACGTCTAAATTTGTCTTATACAGGTAACTTAGAAGCAAGATTAACTTTAAAGAGGCTCCCAAGCCTTCCCCATTCCCAATTAAGGCTCTAAACATTTAGGCTAAACATCCCAGGTTCCAGCTCAGTTTCATGATGGCTTTTAGATGGATGTATGTCTTTTTTGAGGCCATCTGGTGGGTTTTTTTTTTTTTTGGTATTGGGGATCAAACTCAGGTCCTTGTGCTTGTGAGGCAGGCGGCAGAACCACTGAGCTAAATCCCCAGCCCTTGAGGCCATCTGTACTCTACAGAAGGAATGAATTTGAGTTTTATAGATACAGATTTGTTCTTTTAGCCTTCTAGGATGTAGGATAGAAGGTTTCTGTTGCTGAAATCTGTTAAACAGCCATATTGAAATATTATGCGCCTAGAATTAAATACAAATGAGTGAAAGCACATTATCCTGTGCCTACCAGGGTCTCAAGTTAAGACTTTCATTCTGAATAAAAAGATATGTATTCTTCCAGGCATTCATTAACATTCATGAATCATTAGAACTTAAATATCACTACACCATAAAAGCTTTGAATACTACCTTGTATGCTTAATTCTGTGTGATTTGGGGCTCTCAGAGCCCTAGTAACTTCATACTTATTCTTTAAAAAAGGATGAGGGTAGATTTGGTGATATAAAAATAATTCTGAGGACCAGGGATTTAGCTCGGTGCTCCCATCTTGCTTGCAAGCACAAGGTCCCCAGTTCGATCCCCGGTTTGATCCAAAAAAAGAAAAAAAGGTAATTCTGAGCAGCCTTATAAATAAAATACTTGATAAAGATAAAGCAATACTCATTTTATTCAAAGACTTTTTTTTTTTTTTTTGAGACAGGGTCTTAGTAGGTGAAACTGACCTAGAACTCACTATGTAGCCCAGGCTGGTCTCAAACTCAGAGTGATCCTTCCTGCCTCAGCCTCCCGCGTGCTGGGATTACACGCATGCACCACCAGGCC